GAGGAAAAGACCACTTTTGGAAACTGGGAAAAGTGTTCCAGTAGAAAAAGGAATACTTTAAATGAGAATCCAAAGCAAAAAAAAGGGAAGTGTCATTTCACATGGGATTTTGTCCCTCCTTCTGAAAGTGGAAAATATTTCTAAATTACTGAGTAGTACTGACATATTTTAAAGTTTTGGTCTTCAGACATTAATATGAAACACTAATGAGTTTCTGCATGAAAATGAGTTTCTGGAAGCTGCCTTTAGCTGTGTTCTAATGCATAGGCTCTAATGCTACCTATATTGGCCAGACTGGCTTCAGCCATGAAGACTGCATAATTCACAATCCAAAACTCTACACCACACTATAATCAGTATAGTGTATATACTCTTTTGTGAGAAGGGCACAAAAAAGTGGCCTTCTGCACATCTGTAGCCTTAAGTACTAGCTGGTAGGTGGGTGTGAGGGATGTGAGACACATCTATGCTTTGAATGGGTGCTGTGCTTCACAATTTCACAAGAAACCTGTGAGTTACTTTAAAAAAAAAAAAAAAAAAAAAAAGAGAGAGAGATTAGAAATGTTCTTTGATACTTCAAATTAGTTTTAAAAGAAGATTCTTAACCAATACTGTCAGTAACATCAGAGAGCAAGAAGTAGCAGTCAAGGTACAGTGACTATTGGAGCAGCACAGAGCTAAAAAAGATGGCTGGTGTATTTTGGACCACTGTGAGTTTAGTACTGAACTGTCTGAAAGTTAAAAGGCAGGATGGAAATACAACAAATAAAATATATTAAGTGCAAGTAAAACGTGAAAGACCTAGAGCTGCCAGTAGTTAGCATGGGTTTAATGCTATTCTATATGAACAAAATATACTTCTTGATATTGCCATTTGTGACTCATTGAGGAACTTGTGTCAGATCAGTAATTGGCTGGTTAATGCAGTTTATTCTCCTATGTTTATATGAGCAGATAAGAGATTAAGTCGACACTTGCCATTTCTTTGTGAGGTCAAATGTATTTCGGATGTTTACTCAAAAGAAAGAGTAGGTAACAAGTGCCAGGCCAAAACAAACAAACAGAAAAAACAACAGCAAAACTCTGATAAAAAGTATTGATTTTAAACTATAACTTCAATTTTAATTCTTAAATTTTTGCACCAAAAACAAGACAGAAGGAGCATGTTGTAAAGTCATAATGTCAGTGGATTTTAAGGGATTTCGTTTTCATGATATTAAAGTATGATGGGTGTCCTTGCCGTTGTTCTTTTAGCACTGCAAATTCATCTATATCTGAAAAAAAAAAAAAAAAAAACAGAAAAAAATAAAAGCCGCAACACATTTTTAATTTTTTTTCCTTGTTTATTTTAAAACTATGCAAGTTCTGAGAAGCGAGGGAAGAGGAGATGCTAAAACCATTCTGTTTGTAAATAGAAAGCATTTTGTTTTATTATTTGGCTGCATTCTCTTGTCTTTCCCTTTCATGTAGGAAGAAAAAGGCATGTGTGGGATGTTAAAGGCAAGGGTAATTGCTTTTCTGTTTAACTGCACAGCTGTGGTGGGAGTTACAAGCATGAGATGTCAGGTGCACCTGTAGAAAGACAGCAGTCATCTTTTGGGTGTGTTTCGGCCACTGCTTTTAGCATCCGTTTTCAAATAGACAATATTAACAAAAAAAAAAAAAAAAAAAAAAAAAAAGTGTGAGCAGGAAGGATTTGGGAAACTCATTTGCAAACAGTTTGAAGCAGAGAGTGTTTCTGTGATATTATCAAGTGGCAGTGGGTAGATAAAATGCTGAAATAATTCAGGGACCAGAAAATTTCTCTATACTACTTGCTGCCCAACTGTTTCAAAAAGGACCTGAAATAATCTTTCTGCGTGGAAAAGGGATGAATTCTTTGCCTAGCAGCTTGTCTGTTTCTTGTTTAAGATATTTACCTTGAGGCTATATGGAATAGTCTTTCTAACTATTGCCTATTATGAGATTAACAAGTCATTGCATGCAACACCATCGCTAAATTTCCTTTGCCTTTTTGCTAGGATTAAATAAATACTATGTCTTATTGTTAAATTCTCCCAGTATTTTGAGCACTGTTCAGCTAAATCATGTAGTTTGTCTCTTACTTTTATTTATAGATCCGAGGTGCTATTTTAACTAAATGTGGCAAGCAAGAACAAGTAAAAAAATGTCTGTTTCCATTTCCTTACTCTTATTAAAGTTTTAATTTTGGTAAGGACAGGTAGAATCTTGAAGCAGTAAAGATCTTCATAGGAGGGTGGGTAAATAAGATTCTAATAATCCACAGGAGAAAGGTTAAAAGTTGCAATCGCTACATTTTGTGGGGGAAAAAGGACTTTTTCTGCTATGTTTACTCTATAGAGATCGACATGGTATAATCAAAATATTAATTAATATCACATTATTAATAGTAAATTTTGGTTTGAGATGAAATATTTAAGTGAAAAAGACATGTTTTGTGATAATTTTGTTCAGTTCTCTTACAACCAAAATTAATAAAACTATATACCTAATAAGATAAAACACATGACTAGAGTCCTTTTTTTTCATATTTTTAATAGTTCTTATTTTGCTGAACTTGAGTGAATGAATAAAGGGGGAACTCATGCCCTGCCCCATCATATGAACCCTGAAATGCTAGCTGAAATGCATAGCTTCTCACCAGATTATTTTCATTAAAATGCAGTTTTTGCCCAGAGATGTAGCTGATGCCCTGTCCCTGGAGACTTGCAGTGTGAGGCTGGATCTGGACCTGGGCAACCTGCGTTAGCTGTGGTGTCCCTGTTCATTGCAGAGGAGTTGGACTAGATGGCCTTTAAAGGTCCCTTCCAACTCTAAGGATTCTATGATTCTAGTTTGGGACAGCTGGTAAAATGCAGTTAACTTTAAATAATGCTTCTGGAGAAAATGATTATGTGATTTCTTCTTAGTAGATTTAATTAATAAATTTAAAAACATGAATAGATTGACTATAAAAAACAATGTTGAGCATCACTTCTAAATTTTGTACTTTTTCCTGGAAGCAGTAGGCGTAAGCAGTAGGTTGACCCTAATTAACCTCCTGTGCAATACTTTCTTTAAGCTAGAAGCTGTTTTTTTTCATGTTTGTTTGGATGTGGGAATGGTTTTTCAAAATGCTGATATTTTTCCTGCAAATACTTTCTAAGCCTGTAGTTATAAGAATTTTGCTTGAATTATTTCCTTTATTCTTTTAAGATATAATATACATATATATAAAGCAAGTATATTTAACTTCCAGTTTGAAAGTACACATTGAAAGCATGCAATGGAAGAAGTAACGTGTTTTATTTTCAAATGATGAAAATATTTTTGAATTGCCTGATATAGTTAAGACAGTACTTTGAAGCATCATAAATTTTTCTGTATTTATATATTGTTTTTAAAAATATTTTTTTCTGAGTATTCTTGTACAAAACTCTTGCTTGTAACAATCCTCAGAAAGCAAAACTTATAGTTAAAACAAAAGAAAATAAAACAAAAACAAAAATTTTTGATGTGCTTAAATGTTAATCATGAAATATTTATATTATTTATGTTCGTGCCCTGAAACTTTTAGTGCTAACAGTTTCTAGTAGCAGTTTCTATGATATTTACAGTATAATCTTATATTTCAAATTTAGATGTGTTTATTGTTTCATATGACTTTGTGTACTTAAGGAAAACTTTCAGTTTTCATGAATACTCCATGAACTGAGAATTTGTACAAAACTTCAGAACATTCCACTTAACGAAGGGTTTTCTTATTAGTGTTTACTCCTTTCTTTCCTTAGGATAGTGTAAGTAACCCAGCTTGACTGATAGTGAAACAATTATAATCAGTTATAAACTGGCCACAGTTTTGCATGAAAATTGTTTCTGCCTTACTTAAAAATTCACTATTCATTTTATTACTTTTTCTGTCTCAAAGTCTTTATGATTTTAGTTCATTATTGCAAAATTGTGCATGATGCTTTTAATGCCACGTCCCAACATATGTATAGTTTACTGAATGCCTAAAGTTGGGCGTAATAGTTTATGTGTAAAAATATTACTAACAGTATCAAGTATAAAGCACAGGTAGTGCTGTTTGTTTTCTTAAGATGTGATGCCCTTTTCCACAGCAATGAACCAATTCTCCGGCATCTTGATATGTGGTTTTGTAAGGCACTGTTCTTGAGATGAATCATAAAGTTGTCACTTGGTAGCCCCCTACTCTATGCTTGACAATGCTTTTCACAAATGCAGAGTTTTAAATAGCGTAGCTTAAATGTTCAGCCACCTGAATTTCCCATTTACTTTTAGCTTACTCAGGTATTTTTCATTTTGTTTTCTGCTGAAGAAGGGTTATGGCAATCATCTTGCTATTATTGTAAATGTTATTCCCTGGGGGACTGGAGAGAACAAATGAATTGTATCTGACTCCAGGCTGGTAGTTTGGGAACTCTTCAGGTGGGACTATTACAAAATATTGTACCAGACAATTATGTGACTTTGGTGCAGTGTGAAAGAAGGTAAATGCTTTTATGCAAGTGATATTAAAATGTATGTTAAGTATAGTAAGTTACTAACATTTATGAAATGTGTATTTTTTTAAATTTTTTTGAAATATTTTGTTGATTTCTGCAAGGCTCTCTACTTGTTGCTGAAATCTGTTTTTTTTTTCTTGTTTTGGTTTTTGTTTGTTTGTTTGTTTGTTTTTCTAGAGCTTAATGTAGTTTAAGACTTTTTACTATGGCTGCTTGGGCTACTATTCTTTTGTGTTTGTTTTACCGTTGTTAATTTTAATTAAGGACATTCAAGGCAGATAAGAGGACATGAAACCGGTGTAATAATAATTCTGTAGAAAGATTTTTCTCCATCTCCATCAGCAACCACCCTGTTCTTGTACAACTTTAAGATGGCAATGGTGCTGCATCAAACTTCCCTCTACAGTGAGAGGAAGTAGGGATAACTCTTGGAAAAAGTTTTGAGGCTAGTGACAAAATATGTTTGTCTTTCAGATCCCCAGCTCAAGGGTATAGTGACCAGGTTATATTGCAGGCAAGGCTACTACTTGCAAATGCACCCCGATGGAAGTCTCGATGGAACCAAGGATGACAGCAGTAATTCTAGTAAGTGACTGCCATAGGGGAATGTCTTAATCTCACACACAGATTGAATCATTCAAGTGTATACATGCAGACGCAGTTTTAATGTTTTTGGAGGGTTTCTGAATGTGTTTTGTCAAAAGGAAGAGAGTTCTGTCAATTGCAAGCCTAATAACCACCATCACTTCTTGTACAGGATATTGGCCTAAACATTTGCCCTCTGAAGGTGTAAGTGCCGATGGACCTTGGGGGTGAGATATTTAGGCCAGCTTTTTCTTCTGATAGCTTTATAAAAATGATAAAATTATGTAATGTTTTTGAAATTAAATTATGTATTTAATAGAAATTTATCTTCAAATTAATAACAAAAAAGAGATAAGGAATCCAAAATTATTTGCAAATCTGATCATATGAGCCTTGATTCAGCAAAACAAATAAATACATGCTAATCAAAATCCTCCTCAAAGCATATGATGAAATGTCTTGCTGAACTGGGGCTTGATCGTCCTACAGTCTGTCCCTATACCAGCAAAAATTCCAGTGATTTTGACAGGATTTCTGCCAGTGTAGGGACTGCTACAGTGGGAATTCTTCAAAAATACTGTAAACAAAACTGGTCTTGAAGGACAGTATTGATCACTACGTTGGTGTTATTTTCCTATGATACTGCCATTCAATGTATATACATATACACATTTGACAGCTTCAGCTCAAATGTTAATTAAGCAAATCTATTCTTACTCTGGAGTTTTAATTTTTCATTTAGCGGAGAATATGTGTATTTTGTTTAATTTAATGCAAATGGAATATTTAAATGATTTATTTATGTGTGGTCTTGGGGTCTATTTTAAGCATTTTTAATAAAAAAGATTTATCTGCTTATTATGCACTTATAAATAAGCCTTTAATTTCATTTTTTAAAATGTTGGAATTAGACTATAGAAACTAAATTTAGGGATTTGAGGTTTCTTCCTGAGTGAGACTCCCAGTTTTACCTGTTAATGCATGGCTCTTGTATTTAACATATTTCATCAACATATAGCATGACCATGATTTATTATTCTACTTTTCTAGAACTGAAAAAAATAATTTATTAATCTACTTTGATGTGTATTTCTCTCTGCTCAATTTCTGAATGGTTCTTTTTCTTTCTTTCTTTTTTCTTTCTTTTTTTTTTCCTGTTCCTTGTTGGTTTGTCTTTTTTCTTCCCTTTTCCTTGGTGTGTTCATGCCTCATGCCCACTTCTGTACTGGACCTAATATCAAGAAGTATTTTAGAGAAGCTTTGCCTTTATGAGGTCTAAGAAACATGTCTTAGAATGCAAGCTTCTATTTCTCTCTCTCTTCCTGCCTTTCTCTTATTTTCAGCTTCAGTGAAGAGGTGTGTATGACAGCAAAAATTTTGGAACATTTTATGTCATTTCTACTTTTGTCTCTTAGAAATCTACCATCATGCCATAATTTCCTTGTTTCACTGTTGTCAGTTTTACAAATCTTTTTTATTTTTGCTTATTGTGTTATTTGCCCTTTCTCTCCTCTCTTCCTCACCTTCTGGATTTCCATCTGTCTTTGTATCTCTAACTCTTTTCAGTTGTTCCAAAATTCAGAATGAATATTATATATTATAAATATTTTTAAATACAGAACTTGTCCAAAGACAACTAAATTTCATATTTCGAATAAATGCTGTTAGGTAATCTTATGTTTTACTTCAACATTACTTTTTTGGCTAAAGTGATTCTTTCTACAGAGGAATTCTTTCTCTCCAGCTAATGTGCTTCAGTAGTGCAATTTTATAATAATGTTAATTAAAGACATATTAAATCATAAAGATGTATAAAATCAGTGTGTTTGCCAGGAAAACATACAATTTCCACATTAAATTTTGATAATATATCTAGTACTATCAACACTGTGTCAAGAGTTGAAAAGATTGATTCATTCAGTATAGTCATGAATATATAAGTATTTCTTTTGTGCTGTCAATCTTTCTCCTCAGTTCTCTTCTCGTTCCACTCTATTTCTTTCCGTGTCTTGTTGAACTTTTTGGTTATCTCTTTCCTTTATTTCAGCATATTTTGTTTTTCCTTTTGTACTTTTGTACTTAAAAAAAAAAAAAAATTTGCTTGTGTACATAATCCTTAGTCTTCTGATCTGTTATTTTGTGAGCTCCTCATCGTGATAATTCATGTCTGATGCTTACCGGTAAATAAGTTTTGGCAACTGCAGAGGAGGAAGCATGACCCCATATTGTTGAGTTTCACTTGGGAATGGGAAAGTTTCTTTTGACCACTGAGCTACCAGTCTGCCTATTTAGTCCACCCAGTGAGCAAGGAGATACATTAGCTTTCAATAGGACTGACTGTCTGCTTACCTTACATTTGTTTTGTAAAAAGGAAGGAAATTGAGACTCCTGAAGAGCATGCATCTCTGTCAGCCTTCTAGGCATGTTCTGTTCTATTCAATGTCACCACAGCCTGTGAAGGAGTCCTCATCACCTTCACAGCTTCCAGGTAGCTTGCTGTTTTGGAGAAGCCAGTGAGTGTACATCAAGGGAGAAAAGAGAAGTGATTTTTGTTTTGAGCAAGGAAGCTGAAGCTTAGTCATTCTGCTACTTTCTGTTCTGCTGCAATTTATTGTATCAAGTAGTTAGAAGACTGCTTGAAGTTAAAATTCCCTGGCGTGTATGTCATTTTGTACTTATTTTATATGTACACTAGTAAACATAAAAAAAATATAATAAACATACACTGTTGGAGTCCCAGTGTTATAGAGCATTAGTGTCTGGAAAGACTGAAATGTGGTCTGTTCAGGTTGTTAGTACTCTTTTTTGTCTTTAAAGTTTCTTGGTAATATTTTTAATGTGGCTTTTTGCTTCTATCTGAAGTCAAGATGAGTTCTACTAGTGTTTTCAGTCAGCTGTTGTAGCATAACCCATTGTAAAGTGTCAGCCATTGCAAACAGAATGATGGGTTTCCATTCATTTTTTGTAGTCTCCTTTTATGTATTTTACAAGATAGTGATGTTTTGTGATAGACTGTGATATAATGGGTCCATTAGCTAGTATTTAACAATGTTAAGTTTCCTCAAATCACATCAGCAAAGTAGGGCTGTAATTTTGCCAAACTCTCAGTAATCTATATAGAGAGGCTTTATTACATTTCTTCTCTTATTTTAGTTGTTTCTCTTTTTTCCTTCATTCAGTGCCTCATAGTTTCTGGTATTTGTTTTGTTTTGTTTTGTAGTGATGGCAGAAGTGACTGTGGTTAAAGCTGTAGGCTTTTATGCTTTTGTCTTGCTCAGTATAGCCATCCCTCTCTTGCTTTGATTTTAGAGGATTTACAGTAGCGTTACTTGGTGCAAGTGGAACTTGCTCTAGGAGTAGGTGCTCACAGTGATATCATGGGCCTCATGTTACTACTTTGGAAAAACAACAGAAGCTATAAAGAAATAGATGTCCTTTTTGTGCTTGTTATAACAATCATTACATTCTGCTCCCAATCTCCCACCCAAAATATCTCTATTTCTGGCTTTGGTCTATCTTCAGCATTCTGTCTCATGAGTGAAAGACAGTTTTAGTATGAAGACTAATTATGTTTGGGAAACAGGGAATTCTGATTCTTTAATTTCTGAGATGGAAACTCCAAATTTCTTGGCCCTTGTGGCTTATCTATAATTCACTTGCAAAGCATACCTCAGACAACAACCACTGAAAAAATTCAACATTGTGATACTTCCTTCGATATAACGGTAGACCTGATTTTAGGACTCAGATGTTGTTATTTGGGCATCTTATGAAATTACAGTCATATTTAATACATATTAAAAGGCCATTGCTCATCTGTAGCCGTTATTCATGAACTGGTAAATATCAGACTTAGGACTATCCAAGCAACTTTGACTCGGCTGTGCTGTGCACATCTCTTGCTTCATTATGCTGCACCATGCTTTACTTCCTTCATGACACTTGGTGCCTAGAAGAGCTAGTATTCAAGAACTCATGCTCCCATTTAACATGCCTTTAGTTTCATCATTTAATGCATGTTCCTAGAACTCAATTTATATTTTCCAAATTGAATATGGAAATTTTAACTTTTTTAATGTCTTTCTAAGGTACCTACCACTAGAATATTTTGATTTGAAGATATTAATAAATAACCTTCACAGCATCCTGGTAAGATAAAAGAAATAATTAGACAGAAATAAGCATATGGAGATTAAAAAACAACATCTGTAATGTGGTTAAATATAGATTACTAACCTGAAATGTTTGCTGTCAGATTTTTAAGCACTTTTTTTACTGCATTTTTTCTTCAAAGAACTGCAGAGGCATTCAGCTATCTATTTAACACTACCTTTAGGAGTTAGGGTAAGCCCATTTCTCCCACTGGTATACTCCTAGTCAATATGACAAGATCAATGAAGGCCATGTTCAACCCTGCTGAAGCACATCACATTTTAATAACATCTTGTATTACATCAGTCAGGTAGAATGTGTTTCTTCACCAGAAATTATTGACATATCTCTGAATATCAACCTCCCCATAGTCATTATCAACCTAAAAGTTGCTGTGGTGGAATCATAGTTTTCACCTGTGGGCTGTAGATGGAAATAAATTAAAGAGATAGTTGCCTTGATCTGACTGCAGATTTGGTCCTTTGGGAAGTTTTCTTAACTGATACCAGTGGAAGGCACATTCAGAACACAGAGCAAGTTATAAGCCTTATGCAATTGGTTTCCAGCAAGTTTCTTAAGAAAAACAATAATCTGTAATGGCAATTTTCTTGTAGCTATGAGCCAGCTAAATAGACTTTCTCAGGGATATCAAAATATCTGATCTCAGGCATTTCAGATCTAAAGGTAACTTACTGTGATAAATATCCGGAAAAAAAAAAATGGAAAAGAGAAATGTGTTGGATTTGTGTTTTGCTCAAGGAAAGGAAGGAGTTACTACTTATCAAAAAGTGGATTTTAGCTATCACTTTGGCTAAAAATTTTGGAAGATTAGAATTCAACTCAAATATAGCCCAGCAAACCTTTCTCATGATACCTAACAATGAAAATTCTCATTTCTGGGCAATTGTTGCAGTTAACTTCCCACCAACCACATGTTCTGATCTTGTATTTAATGTGAATAGCATTGGAGGATTAGGAAAGGGAAGAAAAATCAATTGTTTTATTGTCATGGTTTAGATGGAATGCAAAAGAAAGCTAGTGCAGTGTGCACACGCTCAGAGCTGCAAAGGATGAAGGTCTGTAGTCACACATTTCTCCCAGTTGGTTCCCTTGATTTCCTGATGTTTCCAGCTCTTATTTGTCAATGGATTTACCACTGTCTATACTTAAACATGAGATGTAGGAGAACTGAGCACTGGGCTGTTGAAGAATATTCTCTCTCAGCTAATATATGGACAAATTGGGCTAGATTTAGGACAGCTGAGATGTCCAGTGACCAAACTTCCCACTTATTTGGGGGTTTGGATCATTGTTCTAAAGACAGGTAGAAGCTAGAGGCATGATTATTTTTCACCATCACTCAGTTAAAGGTATAATTTTGGCTGTGTAGACCTGATATGCTGGCAAACTCTGGAAACGGCTTTCAACACTTATGAAGCAGAATTTTATTAGAGTGGGGGATAACACAAGAATTTGCAATTAGGCGTGGAAGTCCTGCTCTTAAATAGTACTGCACAGCCATGTTCTTGAGGAAATTGATTTTCCTTTGGCCAACTTCAGCAAGTAAAAATCACATGCTGTGCATTACTGGTGTATGTTTTGCTGATCTCAGTATGAAGCATATCACTGAGTGTTTATGAATCAATTGTAGACTAGCCTCCCTACTTTCACTGAAGTCTGAAAGATTTTTAGTAGGTACTGAATATTCAATATGTGCAGAATTACAGAAATTCAGATCACACTCTAAAATTTTATGGTCTTGCACTAACTATAGCACCTCTGACAACATCTCATTAATACTTGGTGGCAGTGAAATATACATTATGTCCTCTCCTCACTGCTTTCGAAATTCACTAGCAGCTATAAGATATTCCATTAATTTTATAGATTGTATAAAACATTGCCATGTAACAGGCCTCTAATTTTCCTTCAATGGTTGTTGGTTTTATTCTACTTCTGCAATTTTATTTTTACTGGTAATGCAGTAAATGAAATTTGTGTTTCTCAAGTTTTGATTGAAGCACTGTAATTTCAGGTTATTTTTCATCAGCGGTTTGTCATGAATGACTTATTTTTTGTGTTTACCTTTTTTTCCTCATACAAGTATTACTTGGTTTTCCTTCCTAGTGTCCTGAAAATATTTGCTGCCCTTCCTCTAGAAGAATGTTCATATCCAGGTTTCCTCCTGGAATTTCTTTTCTTCTTGAAAGAAAACAAAATTAGCTGCCTGTCCCTCCATTTCTTTTCCATTTATTTTTCAGTTCCCTTAGCCTGAGTAAAAAGTCCTGATGTTAATCCCCTCTAGTTTTGCTGTGACAGACTCATCCTCCACTACCCAGGATAATACTTTTGTTGTTTTTGACATTGCTTCATTTGAGGGCATTATCTATTTTTAAAAAAACTTTCTTTTTATACTTGAATATATGAAATCTCTCAAGTCATGTAGTGTTTAGACTATACAGTCATAGGATATCTTGTCTGCTACTGCTATATTTCACTGATTTACATTTATCTTTTATAGCTTAGAGAGGAAGCCTTTTCTGTATACTGTATTTTTATAGAAAGCAGCCCAATAAGATCCTAAAATGACTGAAACTTTCAGATATTACTGAAATAGTAATGCTACATACTTGTGTTACTTCTTGTCTGAAGTCATCTCTTCTATTCTTCTTTGTAAATCCGTAACTTTGTTTTCTGTTCTTCCACACCCCTTTCTTTCTACATCTGTAGGAATTGCTTTACTACAGCAATTCTTAAATTTATATTGGCTCTATATTTTCATAAAAAGGTCTAATGATACATACGATTCTGTGATTCTAGATCCTTTTTCTTAAGAGAATATTCCAGAAAATGTTGTTTTTGAAGGAAAGCTGATTTTTTCTTGTTTTTTTTTTTTTTGTTTGTTTGTTTGTTTGTTTGTTTTGGTTTGGTTTTTTTTGCATCTGCTTCTGTCTTTAAATTCTAACAGGCAACCCACTTTTTTTTTTTTTTTTTTTTTTTTCACTTTTAAAGATTTGATCAGCTTCATCATAAACTATAACTTTATATCTTGGGACCAACCAGGTGTTTTCATATCTTATGAAAATGTGCTCATTTACTGCAAATTCACTGCTCTTTTTCTCTTCATTTGAGCTTTGCCACTGGCACTCTATTTACAAGCAGCCTCATAGTCTATGCATTATGGTCACAACTAAATTTTGAGGAATTCACTGTAGATATTACTGTGCTCCTGAAACATGGCTTTATACAACCATGAATACTTATGCCCATACTGAACATTCAAGTTGTGCTTTTGGTTATCATCCAAGTACTTGTAAATCCATGACTCATTCACAGTGGAAAAGTGCTTTGCATGAACTCTGGTTCATCCAGATCTTTTATTCAGAGACTGATGTGTACTTTGCATTTGTTTTCTTGAAACAAGTCAGTAAATTTAGTATAGTTGTGTCTGCTGCCATAATTCATAAAATAAAAATTGATCTGTGTCTTATCTGCTGAACATTTGTATTTTTAATGAATACAGTGGGCAGTGGGTCTCTTCTAAAGGGATCTTTGAGGAATCTTGTAATCTTTTGGCTGTGCTTCTAATTCTGAATTGGAAATACCACTTAGGGTCCTGTTCTTGTACTGCACTCGAAGCCCAGAAAGCCAACATTACACTAAGCTGCATCAAAAAAAACGTGCAGCTATCAGGGTGAGGGAGGTGATTCTTCCCCTCTATGCTGCTCTTGTGAAGCCCCATCGGAGTACTGCATCCAGGCCCAGGGCCCCCAGCATCTGAGGGACAGGGAGCTGTTGGAGCAGGTCTAGATGAGGGCTATGAAAATGATCAGAGGTCTGGAGCACCTCTCCTACAAAGACAGGTTGAGTTGGACTTGTTTGGTTTGGAGAAGAGAAGGTTCCAGGCAGACCTTATTGAAAGAAGCCTTCCAGTACCTAACCAGGCCTACAAGGAAGCTGGATAGGAAATTGTTATCAGGGAGTATAGTGACAGAACAAGCAGAAACTGTTTTAAACTAACAGAAGGTAGTTTTACATTAGATGTAAGGAAGAAATTCTTTATTATGAAGGTGGTGAGGCACTGCAATGTGCAGAGGAGCTGTTGATGCCCCATCCCTGGAAGAGTTCAAAGCCAGGTTGGATGGGGTACTTTGGTCTAGTGGAAGTTACCTATGGCAGAGATCTTAGAATTATGCGATTTTTAAACCCAAACTTTCCTATGATTTTTCAGGGGAATAGATTACTTGTTTTTCTGCTATTAAACATCTGGTTTAATATAAAATGTATGTATTGAAAGTAAAAATTTCTTATATTTTTACTTTTCTTTTTCTGTTGCTGTTGTGAGAATAGTACCCTTCTCTTCACACCGATCTTTTTCAAACTAGTCAAAGCTGTGTCTTCTTTTGCTGTTGCAGAGGTATATATCATTGCAAGGGTATCTGCTATTAGCTGTGTTTTTCTAGTTAAATCATGTTTTTTTCCAGATCTTGAGCTTTTGAACATGTTCTATATTCATCTCAATAGGATTTATGCACTTTTAGAGTCAAAAACATATTTCAGTGCTTTCCTAAGTTAGGACAAGAATCAAGCATTACCTGAGGCTTGTAGAAAATACATAATTTACAAAACCAAATAATTTTTTTTTTTTTTTTTTGGATTTGAAACCATGGACCCATTGAAACCAATAATAAGAAATAAAAATATCTAAGAAAATATAAACCTACTTGGCTGAATCAGAAGATACGTGTTCTGCAGGATATCTCTCAAGTATTGCCCTTATGATCAGTTTATACTGGTAAAGAAAATGTTGGGCTCTTTGATTAATTTGAGATTGTCTGATATACTTGTGTCTGCAGTGCTTTGTATTTGCTAGTTAACGTTTATGCCTAATACTCTGTGTTGCAGGAATTACTGATACATAGATACTCAGGCTTTAATTTTAAGGGTTAACTTTACTAGTAACAAGACTTTCTGAATTAGCTGAATCTCAAAATCAGAAGAAAGAACTAAAAGAAGTAGCTGTATTTCTTAATGTTGTTCATTTAAATATTTTAATAACCATAATATATTCATATCTGGTCATGTTTTCTCTTCACAGCGTTATTCAACCTTATACCAGTGGGACTTCGAGTTGTTGCTATCCAGGGTGTAAAGACTGGGTTGTATATAGCCCTAAATAATGAAGGTTTCCTCTACACATCAGTAAGTACCTTTCTGAACTCTGTTAGAGGCAGAGCTGAAGATGAAATCTATGCTGGAATGTAGATGTGTGGTCACCTGTAAGAAGTACTGTAATGTCTGTATTTTTTTATTTATACATATAGTACACCCACCTGTGTACTCATGTATGCATGCAGCATATCTATAAATGATATATAGTAGAAAACACTGTATGCTGTGTGTGAGAGTATATGTGTTAGTAAAACACATATTTCCTGGTAAGCTATACTGGTAGTATACAATACACCACAAAAATTATTAATTTCAATTAAGTTCTCCAGAAAATGCAAATAAATACCTGCAGTTATTTTCTTTCAGAGTTGTTCAGAATCCAGAAGATGTTAAACAGTTAGGTTTCTTGATAAGACAATAATTATAATTATAAATTCAATATAAAAAGTAATTTATAGACTTAAGTTTATCGTAATGTTCTAACTGTATGCATAGCACTATGGAATTTTTAATGTTGGCTATCAGAAATAATGTGAGTTCAATGTGAAGAACAGAATTTTTGTAAAATGATCAAAGTATAAGAAAAATTCTTTTGAGTCATAACCAATATTGCTGTATAAAGTGATTGGAAATGCCTCTGTTTGTTTAGGATATTCCAAAAGATTTAATGCTAATCAGTCAGTCTGTTATGAATATAAAAACCCTCAATTTTGTGTAAATTAGTGTCTTAACATCCTTTAGAACACAGACAAACCTTAATAGGAGCAGGCAGTTCTGTAAAGCCTTAAGAAGGGGGCTTAAAGGATATTTCATGACTATTTTTTATTGCCCTCTATGTCAAATTTATTTTAATAGTATTTTTTCCATTTCTTGCGTCACATAATTCTTAATTTCCCACTGAGTTACAATACACTGCTTTGTTTTCAATATCCATTGAAAGGAAATTGGACAGATTAAGTTTCTGATGCCCTCAGGGGAAGTATTCTGTTTGTTTCAAAAATACAATTGTTTGGAAAAGCTAATTAGGGGGAAAAGTGGAACTAATCTTCAATGTCAATGTCAAGACAAAGAGAAAATTGCTGCTTATAAGAGATCTGTTGGAAACTCCACCAGCATGATGTAAAACATTTTTTTTCTTCTGTTCAAAACAATAATAAAAAAAATCTAACACAAGAAAATACCATATGACATGCAATATTTTCTGTCAGAAGGAAGAAATTTAGAAAATAAAATATGGAGCTTGTAGTTTTAGCGCATTACTGACTTCCCAATTCTATGTGGGGAGTTCTTTTCAGTATGATGAACAGTACTTTGTTACATGTTACATGATGGAACTGCTACATCCCTTCCAGCACTTTCTAAATTAAGTTCTTCCTTCCTTCAAAAAGAACTGCAAATTTCAGAAAATGTATCAGTTTCCTGGTAGGTCATTCTGTTCAAGGAGAGACTCTGCAAAAAATTTCTAGTGATTTCCATGCATACGTATTTTTCTGAACACAGCCCAAGTTTTCAGAATGGTGCCATCTGGGGAAGGGAAAGGACATGAAACAGACCTGTAAAACATCCTCAGATCATACAAGGTATTTCTTCTTACACCAGTGGGAATCTGAATTGCCTTCTTCCTATGTCTTTTTAAACAGCACAAATTATTAGGTTGTGAAAAGTCTTGTGGATATAAATAAAAAGTTATGTAAGTCAAAAATACAATCCATGTGTAATGTTTTGCGGGATTGCATATTTTTCATTGCCACTAGTAGTAAGCCTTTTGTACTTGGTGACTTCTTATATTCCTGTGGTTACTGGAAACTTGTTAGGAACTTTGGAACTTTGTCCTGTGAATGCTTTTAAGATTTTAATGCATTTCATTTAAAGATTTCTTGGGAAAGTGTCTCAAATTGTCATTCTACCTTGTGTGAGGTAAGGAAATTAAAATTTTGGGGACGTACTGCTTCCTATTCCTTGTGCAGAGAATAAAAAGATGAGTGGACGATTAGTTGACAAAGAGAAGTGACACATCAGAAAACTGAGTGGAAACCTTGAGCTTTAGTATTTCTACAACATGATTTTCGACTTATACTTTTGTCAAAGATGAAATGTAGTAATATTCTGGAATTTAATGCAGATTGAATGGCAGTCATTTCCCATAATGCAGGTTAATGTATTGAAAATTTTGATAATATGTTTTCACCTCCATAATTGCCTGCTTTTAGCATAGAGACTAACAGATTTGAAAATAAGAAAACAAAACATGAGAGAGAAAAGAGCCTTCTCCCTGAGGATCAAGGTGAAGAACTGCTGCATGCAGAATGTTCTAAATACTGTCCTTTGCAGAAAAAAATGTTTTTATCCAGCCACTTTCTATTAGTGCCTTCCCTGATTCTTGGTCACTATGGTGTACCTACTGCATCTGCAATGCATAAATAGTATATTATGTGTTTTCCCCTTGGCTATTCAGGGGAGGCTTGGAGAAAAAGGTTTTCACAACATAAGTTTGGTATGCCATCTACCGTCATTGAAATAAGTGCCAAATAATGGGAGTTCTTGTTAAAATTTTCATATATTTAAATATATGAAAATATATAGCTAGAAGAGGTGATTGCTGATCTGCTCTCTATCATCTTTGAGAGTTATTGGAGAATGGGAGAGGTGCCTGAGGACTGGAGGATAGCCAGTATCACCACGGCCTTCAAAAAGGGCAAGAAGGAGGATCCAGGGAGCTACAGCCCAGCCAGCTTCACCTCTGTCCCTGGAAAGGTGGTGGAACATCTTGTTCTGGATGCCATCTCCAGACAGTTGGAAGAGAAGAAGTTATAAGGAATAATCAGCATGGGTTCACCAGGAGAAGTTCATGCTCGACCAACTTGGTAGCTTTCTATGATGTCATCACTGGCAGGGTGGATGGAGGGAGAGCAGTGGATGTAGTCTACCTTGATTTCTGCAAGGCATTTGATACTGTCTCCCACAGCATCCTGATAAAGAAGATGAGGAAGTGTGTGATAGATGAATGGATGATGAACTGGGTTGAGAACTGACTGATTGGCCAGTCTCAGAGGGTTGTGATCAGTGGTGCTGAGTCCAGTTGGAGGTCTGAATCTAGCAGTGTTCCCCAGAGGTCAATGCTGGGTCTACTCTTGTTCAACATCTTCATCAATGACTTTGATGAGAGGATAATGTTCACCCTCAGCAAGTTTGCAGATGATACAAAGCTGTGAGGATTGGCTGACACACCAGAAGGTTGTGCTTTGCCATTCAGTGAGACCTGGACAGGTTAGAGAGTTGGGAAGAGAGGAACAAGATGCGGTATAATGAAAGCAAGTGTAGAGTCTTGCAGCAAGGGTGGAATAACTGCATGCACAAGTACAGTTTGGGGGATGACTGCTGGGGAGGAGCTCTGCAGAGAAGGACCTGGGTGTCCTGGTGGACAACAGGTTGGCCATGAGCCAGCAGTGTGCTCTGGTGGCCAAGAAGGCCAGTGACATCCTGGGGTGCATTAAAAAGAGTACGACTAACAGGTCAAGGGAGGCAATTGTCTGCCTGTGCTCTGCCCTGGTAAGGGCTGACCTGGAGTACTGTGTCCAGCTCTGGGCTGCCTGGTACAAAAAAGGAAGAGTCCAGTGGAAGGCCTTTAAGTTGATAAAGGGCCTGGAGTACCTCTCTTATGAGGAAACGCTCAGAGACATGAGTCCGTTCAGCCTTGAGAAAATAAGACTCAGAGGGAATCTGATCGATTTCTATAAATATCTAGTTTGCTGGAGGCAAAGGGATGAGGCCAGACTCTTTTCAGTGATGTGTGGTGATAGGGCAAGGGGAAATGGCCACAAACTGAAGCATAGGAAGTTCCACACAAATATGTGTAAAAACTTCTTCGCGGTGAGGGTGACAGAGAGTGGAACAGGCTGGCCAAGGGGTTGTGGAGTCTCCTTCTCTGGAGATTTTCAAGACCCGCTGGACGCCTACCTGTGCAACCTCATCTAGAGGGCCTGCTTTGCAGGGGGTTTGGACTCGATGATCTCTAGAGGTCCCTTCCAGTCCCTACAATTCTGTGATTCTGTGATTACTGACTAATTATAAACATTTCCAAAAATGGAAGAGTGAGCTAAAGATTAAGTGGTTTTTGTATTGTCTAAGTTGAGATCGAACTGCTCAATTATTTTTATCATAAGCTTCACTAATTAAGCAGTAGCACTGTCAGGAAAGGTATTATGCATGATCCATCTTTCTCTGATATGAGGTGTTTAATAAGAGGAAAATGAAGGTACAGTGATAGAGATCAGTTCTGCTTGTATAGTTGCATGCAGTTTAGCACTGTGTTCTTGCTTTGTTTTTAATTTTTTTTTTTTTATGGTTCTTTTTTGCTTGTTGCTTGTTTTTTTATCATATTTTTTTATCATATTTTATTCTGCCATATTTGTGTAAGATTTTTTTTTCCAACTAATTCGCAGAATTAAAAAAAAAAAAAACAAAAAACAAAAAACAAATGAAAGTCAAATAAATTAGATAGATAGATGACTGCTATGGAAATGTTTCTTTTTTAGAACAGAAATGCAGGGACCAAATTGTGTCAGAAAGTGATCTGTACTTGCCTCATATAACATAAGTTTCATAGAGGGAATATTAAAAAACATATCCCAGGGAGTATATCCCTCTGTAACTTGCTTGAGTGGTAAAAGAAAGTTCAGTGTGTTCCAGAAGGTGTTGAAATACAGTGTTAGGGAGGAGGAAAATGTCTGCATGGTTTATGCTTATTTATATCTGTGTTTGGAGATAGGTAATTTGTCTCTCAAGTTGCCTGCCAAAAATTAATACAGCAAATTGCTAATATATTTATTAGCACAGTTTTGCAGAACAGAGCTGTAGACAAGCTTATAGTGATATCATCACTGTGGAAGAGTCTGATGCTTATATTTGTAACTCTCTGGATGTTTAGGATGTAGAAGTGGTAACTATTTGAACTACTGTTCATAGTATTTATGTAGTAGAAGTATGTTACTTTTAGTACACAACAAAGATTACTAGAACTGCAACAGTAT